AGTATATTTATAATTACACTGTAATTACATTGTGAGAAACAAACGGGTCAACGTAATTACTAGATTGTGTAATTAATAGAATGATTTTCCAAACATACCCATAGTATATAGGAGTATTAATGTATTTGGGAAAAAAATTTATGTATATATGGAGAGATTTTAAACCTTTTAAACATAAGATTAGAAGTTTGTTGAGTGAGCAAGGCATTCGAAATTCAACTCGAGGTTTCGAGTTCAAATTTCAAACATTCTATTTTTATTTTTCAAATCTTCTTGGTGAAAACTTGAATCTGAAACTAAAATATTACATTTCATTCGAGCATTTGAAAAATTAATTGAAATGTCCAATGTTTTTGTTTTATTAATCGTGTGAGAATCCAAACATGTGCCCAAAATTGGATGGTAAAGGTAAATATATCCAAAAAAAAAGTATGACGAAGAATAAATATGACCCTTTTCTAAGAATACAAGAGCAAATATGACCATTTTCTATAATACTTCTAACCCCTTTAGTGTTTGACTATTTTTTTTCCAAACAAATGTCTATCACACACCAATGATACACTGACACACATTATTAATATAAGGTCTAACCCATCGGTTACCCCTTAAAGTTGGCACCAAGTTTCACTTAGATACTTTTATTGAGTTTTGTTCATTTTAGACACCTTAGGCAGGGTTCTGTTATGTCATTTTGACACTTTTTTAAAAATCATCCAAAAATACAAAGTGTGTGTAATACAGTACTTGTCGATGACGTGTCAAAGTGACGAATTAAACAAAGACACATGTCATTTATGTAAAAAAACAATTCTAAACTAATGACTTTTAAGTAGAAAGAAAAATAACCACTCACTTGATGACATATGGCATTTTAAACTCAAATAATAAATATTTTTCAAAAAGAAATTCAACACTTCTAATTTTCAAGAAACTCACCCTTGTCTTCTTCACCCAACCAACCCAGGCGTCTTCTCCACCCCACCCCATCCCAACCCCAACCGCTCCTCCACCCCCATTAGATCGTCCATCCTCTTTACCCCCACCCACCTCAACCTCAACCCCTTTTTCACTCTATCATCTTTTCAAGAAACACTTTCAAAAGAATTTAATTACATTGAAAAAATTAGTTTATAATAGCACAATTTTTTCTCTTCTTTACTTCTAAAAAGATCAATTATAACTAACAATGGAAGAATTATTTTTTTTGCATTTCTCGTATGTGCGGAGGATTCAAATATGCGAACACGAAATAGAGTAATTATTTCGTGGCGCTGAAATTTAATTGTTGGATCTAAAGAAACAAAATGAGAAGAAGATGATGGTTGTGGTGATTTTCAGATCTGAAAAATTTAAAAATACTTCGATTTTAATAAGATTAATGGCGATGATGCAGCAGCGGTGGGTTGATGGTGTGTGGTGGATGAGATAATCAGAAAGAAAGAGGGAAGAAGATGAACAATGTTTTAAAAATATTTTTTTGGCCTGAAATAAAGCTCTTCACGCGCTGACTTTGAGTGTATTACACTCACCATGTCATGTCAGCAAAAAGTGTCAAAATGACACAACGAGATTCTACACGAGGGGTTTAAAATGAACATCGCCCAATTGAGGTGTCTAAGTGAAACTTCGTGCCAACTTTAGGGGACCACCAATGGGTTAGGCCTTAATATAAATTATGTTTATATTTCAAGTGCCAAAATGATTCAATTTCTCATCTTCATCTTCTGTACTATCATCATCTTGACTTATGATTAATCGTCTCACATAATCATTTTGTACACACTATATTGTATAAAATCAAAATCATTAGCTTTCTTATTAAGTAGCTAAGATGATGATAGTAAAGATGATGAAGAATAAAGAAATTATAAAAAGAATTTTACGAACCCCTCAAATCTTTGAGCTCGAACCTTAATTATGAAATACAATACGAAGACTACCCTTAGGCAGTCCTTTATTTGGCAAAATGTCCTTACTGGAAAAACTATTTGCTCTAACAACACAGCCTGGTCCCCTAATAATGGCAAAGCTATAAGCCTTTGGTACCATAGAAGTCCCTTAAGACAGTTAGTACAAGCCCCCCTTACTCGGTAGGATAAAAATGCTACTATTTCTTCTATTTGGAATAATTCAAACTGGAATTGGGATAATCTTAACCTTCGCATTCTGCCAAATATTATGGGTAAAGCAAACCTCATTAGCTTAAACTCCGATCCTTTGGACAATGACAAGCCCTATTGGACGGGCAATTCAAATGGTTTATTCACTACCAATTTTGTTCTCCACATTCTCAAGTAGCCTCCTCCCAATCCTTTCTAGCACACCTGGATTTGGAAACTAAAAATTCTAAACAAGATCAAATTCTTCCTTTGGTTATGCTCACTCAATAGACTGCATACTAAATCTTACCTGTATTACATTGGTATTGTCTCAAAATCCAATTGCACTGTTTGTAAACAAGAGGATGAATCTATTACCCACATCTTCCTCTATTGTTATACGGCAAAATAATTCTGGCTTGAACTTGGTATTTCAACACCCGAAATTCCCCCCAAAACTCACTGGCTTGAAGTATTTAAAGACCTTACTTTGCCGCAGGGTAACAACCTCTCTAATTGGCCTGATGACATCTTTCCTTTCGCCCTTTGGAGTTTATGGACAAATATAAATCATAACACTTTTAATAATAAGAACTCCTTACTGTTACCCTCCGTGGTGAGAAACAAAACTTTGGAATATTGTCGCTACACTAATCATGCTCATAACCCTCAATCCTCCGACCTCATGCGTATCAGGTGGTCTCCCCCGTACAGGAACTTTTAAACTTAACATCGACGACTCTTTTTCCAAAGATTGCAATAAGGGCGGTATTGGAGGTGTTATTAGGTATCATAATTGCAACTGGGTAATGGGATTCTACCATAATATCACTGCTCAAAGCCACACCATGGCTGAAATAGAAGCTCTTCTTGATAACCTAAAAATAGCTACTGATTGTTCCATTGTCCCCATTGAAATTGAACTTGACTCCATTGAGGTAATTGAAGCGTTAGAAGATACTCAATCTATTTACGCATCAAAAATAAATTCTTACAGGTTGCTGATGAAGAGGTTGGGGAATCCACTAGTCCGCCATAGCTTCCGACAAGCAAACAAAGTAGCAGACTTTTTGTCAAGACTAGATACCAAGCTAACACCGTCCGCACAAGCTACTATATTATCTACTCCTCCAGATCATACTATGTCTCTAATCAAGGATGACCAACAAGGAGTGATATCTATTAAACTAGTTTTAAGGACTACTTGTAATAAGTTAGCTTGTTTTGGTAATCTAACTGTAATAGTCAACTATGGTGACAATGTAGAGGCCAATAGGCCTCACAACCGTGTAACTCCCTAATTATATATAATATATATAATCTTACCATCCAAAAAAAAATAAAAAAATTGGGTAAATATTCTTTTGGGCATCAAAGAAAAGAAGCATTCTCATATAATTACTTTCTTCATTTATATTGATTATGATTCATTTTTGAACTTTACATGCTTTTTAAAAATAATAATTGATATCTAAGTATTTTATCATAATATTCATATTAATTTGAAAATAAATAATTAATTCTAAAAATAAGATATGAAATAATAGTATTTTTAAAAATATATATTAAAACAAATACTTTATTAAAAGTGAAAATCTATTTTTAAAATAGATTCCCAAAATAAAAAGAACCATACCGAAGTTGAAATGGATCCAGTGAAGGCTCATTGGACAGTCCCAATCTTCGAGAAAACGTCATAAATAGTCTCTTAACTATGGGATTAGGTCTAAAATGGTCACTTAACTATACACATATCATATTTAATCCTTTAATTATTCAAAAATTTATCTGTTTTAGTTCTTTAACTATACACTTACTAGTTTTAGTCTTTTGAATATTCAAAAACTTATCAACTTTGGTTCTTTAACTATACACTTATCGATTTTAGTCGTTTAAGTATTTAGAAACTTATCAGGTTTTTATACAAACAACTTAGGTTTGTATTAACTGAAGTTTTTGTGAAATTAAATCTTTAACCCATTTTAAAAGTTGTTTCTCTATTCCACTACTTTTTCTTCAAATTGCTCTTACTAAAAACAATAACCTCAACGATTCAAAATAAAACTAATGAGGAAAGAAGATATAAGTCCTAATTTTATTCAATGGAGGATAAAATGAAGCATATGATTGTTGCTAACGACTTGAATATGTTGTGTTCCCTTCTTTGGCGGTTAACAATTCATAATCAGAGTGATTTTTTTAAATTTTGTTTCTTCCTACAAAAGAAAAACAAGAGATTTGATCTTATTACTCCAATTTCTCTACGTAAAATAAAATGAATAGAATAATAAAATTGATCTATTTAAAAAAAAACTTAAAAAGAAGTTGCAAATCTACCATTTTATAAATTTCAACTTCTGAAAAATTTAACAAATTCACTTCAATAAAGTCGTTGGAATACAAATTTTAAATTTAACGAGTAATAATTTTTTTATGATAAAGTTTAACATATTCAAGTCATTAGTAACAATAATATGCTTCATTTTATCGTCCGTTGAATAAAATTATGACTTATATTTTTTTTCCTCGTGAATTTTATTTTGAATCATTAAGGTTAAGGTTTTTTGCATAAGAGGAATTCGAAGAAAAGTGGGGAGAGAGAAATAATTGAAAAAATAACTAAATCATTTAATTTCTCGAGACATGAATTCCGTTAATATAAACCTAAATTATTTATATAAAAGGTGGACAAAGATCAAATCTGTCAAGTTTCTGAATACTTAAAAAACTAAAATCGATAAATATATAGTTAAGAGACTAAAATGGATAAATGTATAATTAAGAGAGTTAACTCTGATAAGTTTTTGAATAATTAAAAGACTAAATCCAACAAAAATATAATTAAGGTAGCATTTTAGACCTATCCTTTTAATTAAAGGGACTATTTATGACATTTTCTCTCCAATCTTCTAAGTAGTCCGTCAAAGTCCAGAAGCATCCCATCAACGGCAAGAGGGAAAATCTGAAAATACAAATATTCTTCCGGTGAACACCCACCCACCGTCTCTCCTTCAGTCCTCCTGCCGGCGATATCTAATTCCTGAGAGGAAGGTAGGGTGAAAACCTCGTTATTTGCATAGAAAGAAAATGGTAACGTCTTCGGTTGTCAACACATACCCACTGTCCAGCTATACATTTGGTACTAAGGAGCCCAAAATGGAGAAGGACACCTCCGTCGCCGATCGCCTTGCTCGTATGAAAGTCAAGTATAGTTTCTTCTATTTTTCCTTTTTTTTTTTCGTAATTGAAATTCTCATAGATTCTTCCAGGTAATTGAGTAGATCAAAGTTCCTTAAACCCTAGGTAAAACCCTTCCGAAACTGGATCACACTGGTCATTGCTAGTATTTAGGTTACTACACTTAAGCCTCTATAAAAAAGTTTCTCCTTTTTTGGAATTTAACAACCTCTTGTTTGTGATGTGGTTTGCAGCTATACGAAGGAGGGCATGAGGACTAGCGTCGAAGGAATTCTATTGGTATGGTTTTGCATCCTCTATCTCAACTTATATTATGTTCCTATTTGCATCTTAGCAAAATGATCATTTTGTGGTCTTACCTTGTTCTGTTATTGCCCTAAATTGTTACTATTTTTGTTTGTTTTGCCACATCTAGTTGCTAGGAACTCATTAGCTGTTGTTAAGCTGCAATAAATGAGCTCCAAATATGCTTGATTCGAATATTGGCTTTGATGCAGTGATTGTGCTTTTAGTTTAGTTGATATTAAGATCTTTAGTCCTGGTTTAGTCTAATTTTTTTCTCCGACATGACATATGGCTGTCGACTTGTCATCACTTGTAGAAAAAGGGAGCGTTCGGCACCCTCAAAGCTCTTGCATAACTTTTGTATGCAATTGTTTGCATAAGATTTTTGAGATGTATGTCTAAGCAAATATCCGTGCTTGAAGTGTATGATTCTTCCATTATCTGTCTAAGATTTTCTCTGTCTAAGAAAACAAGAGTCAGAATGGGAACTAAATTTTCACTCTGTTTCATAATATTTCTTCATTTCCATTAGCTGCCATTTTTGTAGCTCCTTTGTGGAAAATATCATGTACTTTCAAATCAGTTTCCTGTGTTATAGGAAAAATCTTTACATGTAAATATCCATGAATAGTTACTTTTCATCACATCAGTTCAACAACCAATTGAAGTTACCAGTTCCAAAACAACAACAACAACTACCAATCATAAGAATTCGCTATCTGGATAGGTTGCTTTTCCAGGTCTTCAGGTACTCTTGTCCTCTTTATACGCATAACCATTCTAAAGGGAAGTAGACTGATTTCAGGACACCTCTCTCTCTCTCTAGTTTCATTTGCCATCTTCCAATCTTCTGACAAATATTTCATTTGAATCTCATAAACGTTACTCCCTTAATTTAAAAAAGAATGAAGGTGGCGGGGGAGGGGGGGGGGTCTAGAGCACCAAGACCAAACTTCTAATTTTCAGTTTCAATTCAAACATCAATTTTTTAATCTTATTGAAATAAAATTTGGATAGTTAGAAATTATATTAAAAGGTAGTCTAGTTACAAATTTATTTATTTGAAAATTAAACCATGCACGAAAAGGTTGTAGTCTAAGACAAAGATGAATGATTCCCTAAATGTCAAGTATCATATAAAGTGGAATATGGGAGGAGTACATGGAGAAGTTCTTTCAGGAGAGAGGTTAAGTAAATAGTGAAGCAATATAACTTTCTCAATGAGTTTAGTTCAATTGGGGAAAAAGAGATCTTTTTAGGAAAACTTGTTTTTATGAGTTAATGGGGAGAAGAAGAATCAAATGTCTTTACTAGGAGTTCATCTGCATTGTTCAGTGGATTGGACAGTGGTTACTGGACATTGACCTTTGTTTCTTCAACTATCTTAGTCAGTTAACTGAGGGCACTTCATTCATTGAACTGGCTTCCATTTAATGTCTTATATAGCTTGCTTCTTCATCATCTGTAGCTATTTACTGAAAATGTTTATATAATAAGAGAAGTTACCTAGAATACTACTCCATATAGTGTCCCTTATCTTTAAAAAAGAAAGGAAATTAGAAACTCTATGTAGTGTTACAGTTCCTGGTTTCAGATGTATGAAAAATTGGGTACTAGACATTTAATTTTAGGTCGATTACATACCTAGAACTTTTAAAACTGCTGGCGATCTGTTCACTTTAGGGGCTTTAGGATCATATTCAAATTTAGTTCTGGGTCAGGGTGCTTGCAGATGATAAAATGTCGCAGAATTTGGATTTACAACATTAAGAAGCAAGTAATGGAAAAACTCAAAAACAGATTAGCAGGACGAGAAGAAAGATCTCAACTATAACAAGAAGAGAGTGTGAGAGAGAACAAATGCTCTCTTTCTTACAAGAGAAACTTATATGTCTTGAACTACTTAAAGATGTCCTAGTTTGGCCTGATTATTGAGCTCTTAATTCTGATCAAAAGATGTCCAACGGAAAACTGATTTAACTTTTAACATATTTCAAAAGGAAAAGAAATGGGTCAGACCAACATCCAGTCTCCCTGGTAATTATTGAAAGTTGAAACAGGGAAAAGCTATATAAGGTTATGTTAATATTAAACCTTACCAAAAAAAGGCCCTGTTAATACAAAGGGAGAGGTGATTGTGATAGGCATCTTGTGGACGGTTATCATTTTTTTAAGCGTTACCAAAAAAAAGGTTATGTTAATATTAAGGGAGATAATTTTCCGCGGCAACTTTTGTTTATAGAGTTATGATTAATGAGTCTCAAGCTACTAACTAATTTCCATTACCTTACTACATATGTGCTCATGTTTTCTTCTTCAACTAGAGCTTTATCTTCTGTTTTCACAGACACATTCCATCTATCACCCATCTCTACAGTCAGCTTTATCCCTGCTTCCTTACAACTTTGTTTTATTCTATCAATGGCTCTCAAGCTCTCTTAATGGGAGGAAAAACAATAGGTCTCAAGTAACTTAGGTTTCAACTTTATTTCGAATTGTTTATAGTTGTAAAAGGAGGAGTACTCGACCACTTAAGATCATCTGTTGGTTGTTTCTTCTTTCACTTTGTTTCAAAAGATAGTTCATACCAAAATCTATTTTAATGCAAGAGGTTCTCTTGTAAGGTTTTCTACTTTTGGTATACTTCTTGTATGCAGGCAAGTTTTTGCCCTTTTCTAATGAAATTTGTTACTTTGTAAAAAAATAAATACAAGAGGCGATATATACCTAGTAATTGACTAAATTTGGCACAAATTGTTCAAGTCGGTTAGTTAGAAGTAGATGATTGGGCGGCTTTCATAGGTAATCATATTTTTGTGTAAGATATTCTACTTTTTGGTATACTTCTTTTATACAGGCTAGTTAATACCATTTTATTAATAACAGTTTTACTTCATAACAAAAAAGGTTGGTTTTGTAATTTTAGAGTTCGATTCTATGGAGTAAAATTAGGATGATGTGTAATTCCTCTGGTTTGAATTCACAGGTACAAGAACACAATCATCCTCACATTCTTCTATTGCAAATTGGGTTCTTCAACTAGAGCTTTATCTTCTGTTTTCACAGACACATTCCATCTATCACCCATCTCTACAGTCAGCTTTATCCCTGCTTCCTTACAACTTTGTTTTATTCTATCAATGGCTCTCAAGCTCTCTTAATGGGAGGAAAAACAATAGGTCTCAAGTAACTTAGGTTTCAACTTTATTTCGAATTGTTTATAGTTGTAAAAGGAGGAGTACTCGACCACTTAAGATCATCTGTTGGTTGTTTCTTCTTTCACTTTGTTTCAAAAGATAGTTCATACCAAAATCTATTTTAATGCAAGAGGTTCTCTTGTAAGGTTTTCTACTTTTGGTATACTTCTTGTATGCAGGCAAGTTTTTGCCCTTTTCTAATGAAATTTGTTACTTTGTAAAAAAATAAATACAAGAGGCGATATATACCTAGTAATTGACTAAATTTGGCACAAATTGTTCAAGTCGGTTAGTTAGAAGTAGATGATTGGGCGGCTTTCATAGGTAATCATATTTTTGTGTAAGATATTCTACTTTTTGGTATACTTCTTTTATACAGGCTAGTTAATACCATTTTATTAATAACAGTTTTACTTCATAACAAAAAAGGTTGGTTTTGTAATTTTAGAGTTCGATTCTATGGAGTAAAATTAGGATGATGTGTAATTCCTCTGGTTTGAATTCACAGGTACAAGAACACAATCATCCTCACATTCTTCTATTGCAAATTGGGAACACATTCTGCAAACTTCCAGGTGGACGCTTGAAACCAGGAGAGAATGGTATGCTTTGCTTATGATTTTCACTGGATTTCATAAAATTTTTGCTAAGCTTTGACATGGGATACTAGCATTTCTGCTTTCTATTTTTCTTTAAGTGCAGAAATCGAGGGTTTGAAAAGGAAACTGTCTAGTAAACTTGCAGCTAATTCTCCTGGCATTCAGCCAAATTGGCAGGTATGCTTATAAGCGTTACGCCTTTTTGTAGTTCCTTTTCTTTTGTGAGGGAGAAATTTACAACTATATATCCAGTGTAATCCCACAAGTGGGGTCTGGGGAGAGTGGTGTGTATGTAGACCACTCCTACCTTGTGAAAGTAGAGAGGTTGTTTTCGACGACCCTTGACTCAAGTAAAACAATTCTAGGCTGGTGATGAAAAGGTCATACAGGAGTGAAAAAGGCATAATAAATTAATAGAGAAAAGAACAATAGCGGCAACAAATAATTTGATAATCGAAGCAAAGGACAACAACTAGTGGTAATATAGAATCGCAAAATGAGATAAAAGAAAGATAGTAATAGTATTACAGGTGAGAAAAACTAGATAACACTTGACTACCTTCTAGCCTTCTGTCCTGATTCCTAACCTCCATACCCTCCTATCTAGGGCCATGTCCTCGGTAAGCGGTAGCTGAGTCATGCCATGTCTAATCACTTCTCTACAATACTTCTTCAACCTACTTATACCTCTCTTCATACCCACCATAGCCAATCTCTCACACCTTACACCTTACTGGGCCATTAGAGAATCTCTTCTTCACATGCTTAAACCACCTTAGCCTTGCTTCCCTCATCTTGTCCACCAGAGGTAGGGCTGCATATCGGTCAGTTCGGTTCGAAAATGAACATTATCGGTTTTACTTATTCGTTTTCGGTTTTTGGACATGCCAAACCGTTAAAGAACCATTAAGATATCGGTTAATCGGTTTTTTTTTTTTTTTGATGAAGTAAGTAGATTCATTTCAAGGCATCAAGAAGATGCGAGCTTTACAAGGATAGATCAGTTAAGCTCACAAAAAAAAAAGAAGGATTTGTAGCCTCTTTCTAAGCTATAGAGCTAACAAAATCCAAGAAGAGTTCTAAATTATTTACAGGGGTCAGTTTGGACCAACTAAAAAGGCTAACTAGACATTTGCCTCGCAAAAGATTTCTAGAAGTTGAAATTCCATCAAAACATCTTTTGTTCCTCTCTGTCCATAAACACCAAAAGATAACACCAGGGATCATTTCACATAATTACACGGAGTCGGCTATTTGAATCTTCTATATCCAACCCCCTCTGTTTCATGTCCTCTCGTTAAGTCAATACTTACATAAAAATCTCATCTTTCACAAAATTTATCATTTTTTTCCAATTGACAAAAACCAGAAAGATAGAGATATATGAGAAGGCTACATACCAATTCAAATAGGAGGGTAAGTAGAAAAGAGACAAGAACAATAAACATAGATTTAACAATCTGGGGCTCAAAAAAATGCAAAAAAAAAATGTAGCATACAACTCAAGAACAATCTAAAATTCTGGGATTAACCCAATAAATTCAAGAAGGCATTAAACAAAAATGTTAACCAATAGAAAGAGTGGAAACTGGAAAGGAAGAAACTTTGTACATTGTGAATTGAAGAAAGAGAAGAAAACCTTAGAAAGAAGAGCATAAATGCATAAAAAAAACTAGAAATGCAAACCTTGAATAGAATTTGCCAGAAAAGGCATGAGACAAATCCTGAAAATATCAAACAAAAATAAGGAATGCTAATTGTGCTTTGACTTTTAGCAAAGAAATATATGCCCACCATATCAATCAGTACTAGAACTTTGCCAGATCAATAAAAAATTCAGTGTCTTCAACTATTTGTGCCGGAAATGCAGTACAAAGTGCCAGAAAGACTAACAAGAAGGGACTACTGTGGTATAAAACATATATCTCCTCATCTAGTATGGAAAGGTTCTATCCCTCATGATCTTTTCTTACACTGTGACAGACCCATTAAGGATCAGGAACAAAGTCGAGATACAGACATTCGAAAAGAAATGTAGCAACTAGCAAGCACAAAGTCTCCCAATAAATTAACCAACGATATCCGCTGCCCCCCAAGGTGTCCAAACGTTGACTTACCAGGCTGTTGAGAATAGTTTATAATTTCAAACAGCTACCTACAGTCATACAGATCACACAATCACACATACTATAAAATAGTACAGACATACATTGTTGAGTGTTGACCGCAGAGTGCACACAATCACACATACTATAAAAGAGTACTCTAAATGATCATTGATTTGAGAAGCAGTATCTCAATTCTCACAGAACTCTAAAAGAACTATACGTGATTAAAATTGTCAAAGAAATCATGATCTCATCCTCATCAGAATAACTAAACAAAACAACAACATCACAATTTGAATTTAAGCTGTCATAAATGTCACAGAACTTGTAAACTGTCTAGCAGAAACAGAAAATTAACAGTCTCACAACCGGAAATTAAATCCAAACATAGTACTAGTAGGTCATATTCAAGTCAACAAAATAAGAGTACTTAATCAAGTAAATGAATCTGCTCCACGTTATCCAAACAATGCTTAACATGAGCCATCAACGAGCCTGTCCTGGCATGCCGTGGATGATAATTAGCAACACGGCCACAATGAAAACATTTAACTTTGCACAATCCATCTTCGTTTTCTTCAAGCTTTTCATAGTGACTCCAAACACATGGTCGAGCTTTAGGCATATGATTATATCTAGTTGACAGAGAAACAAAGAAAGTTTAGATATTTAAAACTCATACATAGATTCATAACTAAGGTTATGCTACACAAGTTCCTACCATATAATTCAACACAAGATTTACTGCATATATCAGTGATGACTCCTTTAGTAAATGAAAAGAGATTCAAGTCCTAACTAGAATCAGTGAAGGTTTTTTTTTTCTATCATTCAGATACACATAAAGTTAAAGACATCTACCTTCCTCTTCTTTTAGTAGATTTAGTAAAGGAAGCCTTCAACTCTACATGTCCTCAATTGAAGGTTCTTTTCCAAGTTTGGCCAAATCTAAAGAGAAAAACAATAACAAATCAAGGCTCAACTCTTAAACAACAAAAATATTTAATAAACTATTCACAATTTTACATCAGTGAGTTTCTTTCTATACCTTGTTTAAGTTGCTCAAGAAAATCTAAATTTTCCTCAATACTTATAGATTGTGGTTCACTTCGAAGCCAATCTTGAAGGCACACTAGAGCTTGTACCAATTTAGGAGTTAATGAACTCCTAAATGAATCAAGAATGCGTCGTCCAGTACTAAAAGCACATTCAAATGCCACACTTGAAATAGGAATAGCTAATACATCTCGAGCCATCTCAGAAAGGAAGGGGAATCTAGGTGAGTTGATTTTCCACCAAAGCAACACATCAAAGTCTGCTTTTCCAATTTCAATATCTTCTTCAAGATATTTATCCAATTCTGTCTTAGAATATGCACATCCACTCCCAGATGTATGTCTGTGTAATTCCTCAAAGAAATCCCCAAAATCTCCTATAGGTATAGACCCTGAACCAGATTCCTCAAAGACTTGACCACCTTTATCAATTGAAACAAGCTTTGCATACTCATTAAACAAAGATTTCATGTATGTTTGCACACCACTCTCTATATTTTCTACTTTGTCCTCAAACAATTTTTTAAGTGCAAAGCTAAGAGTGCTAAATTTGTGGCGAGGATCCAAAAACACATGGTAGGAAAAGCATCTTATTCATTTTGTATGTATCACCCCAATATTTATCAAATTTTTCCTTCATCGTTACTGCCATATCATCCAAAACTTTATCTTCAGTTGATATCAATAAACACCAACTTGACAAATTTCAAGAAAATGAAGATTTGATGTCACATATCGTGATCCAGATATCTTCAAAGTAAGCTTAAAAACATTTCAAGGAACTTTGCAATTCTCTTTACACTCTCCCAATCACTGCTCGAAAGTATATTTGTAGGATTTCCATCCTCATTATCACATACTTAAGATGATGTTCCAAGCGATCGGCATAATCTAAAATTGCACATTCATATTCAATAGCCCTGCTCAACATCATGTAGGTGGAATTCCACCTTGTAGGAACATCCAAGCACAAAGATTTTTTAACAAGATTTTCATCTTCACAACATTCTTGAAACTTTTTCCACCTAGCCGGCCTAACTCGTTCAATGGACACATTTATTTCTTTATGCCATCTTGAACAATAAGGTTCACTATGAGCCATACACCGGTGACTACCAAGTACCACCCATAATGTTGGTCCCCCACTTAGTCAATTGCTTAGACAACTCGGTAACGGTCACAACGTCCATTTTTTATCAATCCAATGAGCTGTAATAACCATATAATTGATTCTTTGAATGGAAGTCCAAGTATCAGTGGTTAAACACACTCTTTGTTGTGTTTCCTTAAAAGGAGTTATCATTTTATGTTTCTCTTCATCAAAAAGATCAAAGCAATCACGAGTCACGGTGGTACGAGAAGGAATGCGGAAACAAGGTTGTGCTACTTCCATAAATTGTTTAAAACCTTCCTTTTCAACAAATCTGAAAGGAAGTTCATCAATAATTACCATACAACACAAAGCCTTCCTACACTCTTCTTGATCAAATTTCTATGGAACAACAACTACATCACTCTTGTTACCCCCTATAACTGGTTGAAATGCTAATTTTGCCTGTTTGATATCAATATTACAAGGCATCTTTTGGCATTTGGACAGATAAGTAAGCATACCTGTCGTACCATGTCCCTTTGAGTCAGCACAATACTCTTTCTTACAATAGTTGCAAACACCCTTATTAGTTCCATCAGAATCAATTTTACGAGTAAAATGATCCCAAGCACGAGACCTTTTTTTCCTTTCTTTCTTTACATTGGACTCAACCATTTGAGTTTCACATATCACATTTGAATTTGAAGCTCCACTTCCACCAACAACCTTATCAATTAAGATATTTTCAGCCATGATACTTCACCAAAGACTTAAGACTGCGAAAAGCCGAAAAAATATAAAATAATCTTGATTGAACTGGTTCATATTAAAGGTGGATGGACTGCTGATTGTTGAAGGAACTAAACAAAGGCTGAAGTTTGAACAATAACTAAAAACAAAAGCAGAACAAAAATAACAACT